CTGCTGAAAAATGTAAAGTCCAAGTGAAGGTTTCCAATTCTTCTTTTATTAGTTCTCAGGTTACAGCTCGAGCTGGGTGCCTCTGGAGAGGGACCCCTACCCCAGATCGCGCCCTCCAATTATACCCGTACCACCCAGCACCCGATCCCCAAATCCAATCACTTAATTCTGGTCGGTGGTCTCTTGATTTCTTTGTCGCTAGGCTGGCCTTCTTCTGAAGTTACCTCATTCTCTTGGAATTGTTTCCTTGGTCCTTCTTCATTCTGCTCACATCTGCCAGATTCAGCTAGTTCTGTGTTAGCAGCATTAGTTTTATCAAAAAGTTTATTCTCTGTCAGCTCTTGCGGCCTAAGGCTTCAACTACTTTAGCTACTAGTGCTAAGCTACTAATGCTAAAGGAGACTATTCAGAGAGAAGAATACAGTTAATCAAACTTATTCTGTAACAGTATATTAAAAAGATTCTAGACTGTGCTGGTTTTAGTCTTTGTACAATCAGAATTAGGTATGCAAATTGAAAAATAAAGTAATTTTGATAGGATTAGAAATTCCAACAGAACAGCAATTTACTATGATAAGATACGAGGTACAGATAATGTGGAAGGCTGCGTAGGAAAGCAGTCAGCAGAGAGAATGAGAGTTTTGAGAGCCAGAGCGATGAGAGGCTGACGAATTCTCTACAGAGTTCTCTGTTTCCATCCACCTCGGAACAGGGAGATCCCAGCTCTGTGAATAAGTTAGCAACGTGGACATCTTCGTAAGAACAGCTCTTGTTTCCCACGCGGTGTGTTGCAGCATTTGAAACTAACTGAAAACTTAACTGAAATTTTTCTCTCGCTCTCCTGTAGGGAATCAGATGAGCAGTCGTCTGATGAGTATGCGCAGTGCCAATGGACTGTTGATGCTACCTCCAAAGACAGAGCAGTATGTGGAGCTTCACAAGGGGGAGGTGGTGGATGTCATGGTCATTGGAAGGCTATGATGTCACCAGCAAGAGCGAAGCTTTGATGCATGTCCACATATCATTGACTGTATCCTGTAATATGCAACGGCACAGCTAGTTTTTCTGATTTGGATAAAAGTTGATCAGTATAGTCAACATCTTGAATTATATTTCAAATGGAATTTAAATAAATACCTTTTAAAAAAAACTTTAAAACAAATCTTAACAAAGAAATTTATTCTGATTATATCAAAGCAACTTTTTCCTTTCCTTGCAATTGCTTTGTGTGTTCAATGCTAGTTCTAATAGCGGTAGCTTTTAGTAGACAGCAGTAGGTGCCTGCAGAACTTGTGTTTTTTCTCATCTTTAAGATACAACTACTTATGCTCTTAAAACAAGGCTGTCTGCTTATTTATACTAGCGTAGACAACACTTGGATTTCCCTTATTAGTACGCTTCATAACCGCTTCACAGAGAGCTTCTGCTTGTTCTTTATCTTGTATCTCGTGTTGATGTGCACAGTGCCAAAAGCAGAGTGGCTGCACTGGGAACCCAATGAAGCCCCGAGGTTTTCTCACCTCGCTGCGCATTCAGGGATCTCTCTTGTCCCGGCAGCCACCCAGCTCAGTACTCTTGGGCAGTAACTGGATACCTTTTATTTCAACAAACAAAAAAATCGCTTCCTTAAGTGCTGACAGCCTTTTTAACCAATACATTTAAAAATGTACAGAACTAAAAACTAAAAAAAATCAAAGACTGATCTTGTACAGATATTAGTGTTACCAGCATTCGTGTGGAAATTAAATGAGCAAAGAAGTAAAACTAATGTTAAACAACTCTGTACCATAACATTTTCTGTAATGATATTGAAACTTAAATGAATAAAAAAAATCCTCAATCATTATTTAAAATTTCACCTGTTTAGCCTTGTTGTTTGAACCAAAAAACCAGTGGTTTAAGAGGGTATTTGGGGTGGGGGAAGAGGACAGGAAGGAAGGGAAAATAGTATATGGAATCTACTTCCCTCATGTACAGTATCACGAGTGAACTGAAAATACAGAGTGAGCTCTCTCACTCATCTCCCAAGGGACAAAATGGAGGCAGCATTTGGGGGGTTTTACAATTGGACCGGTCAAAGCTGGCGAATATTTTTTTTTTCCCCGTCTAAATTGCATAGCAGTTGCAAACAGCCCTTGTGCTGCATTCCACTGTGTGGAATTTGATAGAGCATTCTTTTTTTTTTTTTCATGAGATTCTCTTTTTGATACTGGGACTCTTTGGCCCTCGCCAGATTATGTATTTTGGTAATTTCACATTTCCTCTGGGATTAAGACCATAGCAGTGCCCTGCAACACCTTGCTTCTTGGAATTCATGGGTAAAATGCTATCCCATCAACTCCATTCATGAAGCCAGAACATCTGTCTATAGTATTTTTTGAAGACTTAGTCAGGGAGGACACAGAAAACTGGGTTTAAGTCCTGACTGCCAGCTCCAGGGTGGACCGGAGCTGTAGTTCTATGATAACCGCAGAGGGCACCCCGAGGCTGGTTTTAAAACCAAACTCTTTGTTTGCTGTGCAACAGCCTGAATACCCCTTGCAGAGGCCATTGCCAAGGTCGAAGGCAGGTGGGCACACACCGTGTTCAAAGGCACTCCAGGGGCTGATCTTTCAGAAAAATAGTAACACAACTTGCTGATCATATTTCTTTGTTCTGGGCTACGTGTCCACATTTGAGATCTCTCTATGTAGCAGCAGGATGGTACCAAATTAAATTCATGAATGCCTGTATTTACTGTACAAATGCTGTAAACCACAGAAGAAGGAAGAGAGAGGAGAGCTAACTCCTCTCTGAGAAATAACGTAAGAACCCTGCCTTTTATAATCCAAAGGATTATTATGTAGTTAGGAGTTATTACAGGCAGCGCATATAATGAAAATTGGAAATTTATAAAGGACACGAGTAACAACAACCTCGGGGAAGATTGTTCATGCAATTGGAGATGCTAGACAAAGATAAAAGAGGGATGTGGGGAAACCTAGCCAGACATATCTTGGGTCTGGTTTACACTAAAACCATTACTCAAAACAAATGTGGCAGAGAAGAGTTGGCACAATGCTGTGTATAATGCATGGCTCTGTTTAAACCGTATCTCGGCATCGTAACACTTAACTACCATTGTAACGAATAAAGCATTTAGAGGTTAATCAAGATAACTTTTTTCCAAATCACTGATAACGTAAACTGCTTTAGCCACTCCACTGTCTTTTGTAATCCCCTCTGCCCAGCGTTCAAAGTTTTATGGAAGAAAATAAGCTTTGCAGTTTCTGAGAGAGATGCTCACAGCCCAGCCTTCGTTAACGCTGAAAGCCATAGCAGTATGTTGGAGAGGTAACTCTGGGAGCTGTGTAATAAATCATTATTACAACTATGTCTCAATTATCAAGCCTAAAATCTGAAGAATTTGCCTTGGTTGTTGTAATATAAATGGATATAAATAGATACATTTAAATCACTTTTTTATTTTTAACGTTCCCAACTCACAGTTTCAGGGAAGGTTGGAAGCTTCAGAAAAGAAATCAAGGACAAACGGATCTTCAAGTATGTGGTTACTTTGGTTCAAGGACTGAGACTTGCAAATGGAAACATTTTAAGGAATATTTTCACTGTTTTTACCTCTCTAGACAAGGTTTTAGCACAATCAAAATGGTAACTTACTTAACAACAAGAAGCAATGCCAGCAATGACTGAAGTTAAGGTTAGTATTCCAACATTTGTAGTTTTCTTCTTTTTACAGCATTTTCTTCAGCGCCTATACATGGGAATGACCATATGCAGTGGGCCTTCCGAGTCCCACTCATCCAGCTGGGATAATCCTACAGTGACCTACAAATCCTACAGCAACTTTTGTATCCTGGCTAGCTGGTACCAAAACCTTGATTGTACACCTGGATGTGAAACATCATTCAAAAATTGGCTGTATTTGTTCAGATAAATAGAAGAATAGACCAGCCTGTTCCAAATACTAATTTCAAGACTTTAATTACAATGTTAATTCTATCTTGATATTAAAATATGCTAAACGTGAAATGTCTTTGATCCGTAGATAATTACAGATCTGTATGACTCCAGAGATTACTAATTAATGTGGAATCTTTAGCCTTTTTGATTCTTGAGCTGAAGGATTGCACTTAAATCATATTACAACACGGACACTGCTTAAGGACAATATGCAACTGGAATCACCCTGCAGGTTCTATCTTTGTCCTTCCCAGCTTGCCGCTCTGCACCAAGTGCTGAAGGTTGTCTTCTTTGGCACGTCTCAGTCCAGAAGCCGTGCTGCTTGCCTCAGGCCCAGTAAAGATGGTCTTCAGGCCACGGGCAGTCTGCAGGTACCCTGCACTGACCACAGAAGTGCCCAGCATAGTGACTGGATCCACCTTTTCCTTCCGGATGCCTTGGTTCCAAGTCTGTCAGTGTTGGGATGGCACGTGCCAGCCTCGTTGCCTTCCTATGGCAGCAGTGTTCGGGGCCTGCCTCAAGTCATGCTCAGGAAAGCTCTTCAGGCTGACAGCTCTGCCAGCACTTGCAGGGCAGGAACTATGTCTGAGAGTTGAGACTTCAAGTGGGACATCTTATTTTGGAAAGCAGATGCCAGGCTAAGATGGCCCACCACTTCCTATGGCCCTCCATTATGTTCTAATACTCAGCTTCTGAAAAACAGCGCCATCACCTGAACTGTTTGTGAGGCTTTGTGTTAGACAAGAAAAATATACATTAAATCAAAATATAAGAAACATATCACAGCTTTGTTTTCTTACATGATAACAGCACTGAGGTGTTTCCAGGTGCCCGTCTTTGCAGTTGACAAAGAGAAGACAAGCAAAGTAAGGGCCCTAAGTATTGGTTAACGCTGAAGACACATCTCTCAGGAAGTGCATGAAGATTCATCAGCAATCAAGTTCAATGGTTGTTTTAAAGGCAGAGTCTCCTTCTTGCATACATTTATTTGGTATATTTGGATATACAGCTTTGTACTTTGCCTGAGGAACTAGGTGGGAGAGTGTGAGAGCATCAAATGAGGAGTCGGAGCCCAATTCAGGCTACGTTATCAAGCAGTAGATCGGGCTGACATGTAATGATCCTTATACTCTTCCTCTTACCTGACAGGAAACTAAGAATAAGAAGGAAAAGGGTAGATGTTGAAATGCTCAAGCATAAAATTTGCCAAAAAAATTATTTTTCCTTAGCTGGAAAATTGAAACCAGTTTTTAATATCAGAAAAAAAGCATCAAAATTGTCTGTCATTTATGATGACACTTTCCAAACATTTGTAATAGCCTTTTATCCCAAATAAATTCAGGAATATATTCTCAACCTAATATTTCTTTTGTGAGGTTATTTTACGCGTTTCCCAAAATACCAGGTAAGAAACGCTTTGCTTAAGTGCTTTATATCTACGGCAGTCTCCTTCCTGAAGCTAGTTACAGTCAGCTGGCGTTACTCCCATGAAAAAGCTGAATTTTAGCACTACAGGTTAGACGGGGAAGGGCATTTATGCCTGTAGTCAAAGAAAGCAGAGACATTTCTAGGAGAGGGGGCCAACAAGGTGGTCAAAGTCACAACTATTGATGAAGAAAAAGGATTTGCAGTGGGGAGAATAATTGCAGCAGCTGATGATCGCTGAAGCAGCAACCTGTTGAATAGAGACAAGGTATAGTTTCCCATAGCAGTATTTGGCCAGTATGTTGCAATTAAGTGCCTTCACCTCATAATGAAGAATATGATCTCTAATTGTTTTGGCAACGAAATGGTTTGGCAACCCCTTCGCCTTCCTAAAGCCAGCCAGCCTCAAAAGACACAACGCAGCATTTGCACCCCTTCAGCATGATACTGTCAGCAGCTCAACTTCTCTATTTACTCGGAGTGAAAAAATCCACATTGTTGTTTCTTCTACGTTTACTTTTATGGGATGTGTTTTGGGGTTTTTTTCAGACTTGACTTTTGTTTTCTAGTAAGTATATCCCAGCCTCCACCCGGAAAGGTGAGGCCCCATGCTGGATTTAAACTCGGCATTGAAATGCAGACACTTCTTGGCTAACTCATGGGGAGGAAAAGCCTGTGGGTTTTGCAAATGTTACAGCCTCATGATGTGCTGCTAGTTGCATGTTTTCTGAAAGGGCTTAGTGACTCATATCCAGCTTTAGATTAAGACTTGCTCTGTGCATTCATGCCATATTGCATACAAGCTGACAAAGCTCTTGGAATAGAAAGCCTTCGAAAGGGAGATGCACAGATGCTCAGTAGCTCTCTAGTTGTCAGACTGGTCTGGCTGGCATTACTTGCTCCATCCCGGCACTGTACAGTGACATCCAGCACGCTCTGTCCCTATGCAAGAACTTCTGCATTCGCATGGACCCAATTTGGGTTTAAAAATATAGGCAGCCAACTTAATTTTTGCAGAGTTAATTCACAAGCAAAACCAAAACCTGATTGTACATCAGTAACTCCACGGATAATCTGAACATACCAGAGGAAGCAAATGCACTGGCATGATCTTGATAATCAGGGATTCAAAAGTAGAAGTAAAGTAACTTCAAAAAAAGTATACGAGAAGATGGAAAGTAAGTATATATCCCTGCAAAAACTACCTTAGAAACAACAGCAGGGTAAGATCTCAAAACCCTGATTTACTCCTTTTGTAGGTGCGGAACTGCCAGATTGAGAGCCATATCCAGATGCATTTGCTTCCATTAAAAAGAAAAGAAGTCATAGTGCAATACTAACATGTTACCAGCCACTGGCACACACAGAGCTGTCCCACCAGACTGACAGGAAAGCATGCAGAGCGGCTTTTGTCCATACCTGACATTCTCCTCATGTGGATTTTACTGTGGCCCAAGATGGTCTGAAAGGATGCCATTACCAAACAGAAATCAGAAAGATCAGCAGGACAAATGAGAGTTAGCACATCAAGGATGTAAAGCTTTTAAAAAACAACATAACACGTAACAACATAACACGTTATTACCTGTCTGACAAGAGCATTTCCTAACTGGGATGTTGGTCTGTTGTGGCAAAGTGACTTCATCATTTTGAAACGCTGTGCTGTTGGAGCACTAAGGGGGACCCAATTCTGCAACGATGTGCAGACCAGACACTGGGCCAGGAGAAGCCAACCCAGATGTTTGCAGACACAGCTTCCTACACTGGCAATGGCTGGTACCAGCAGGAGAAGGCAGCTTCAGTGGGACTACTCGAGAAACTGCTGAGGAGGAGACAACATAATGCCAGAAACTTCCCTGTGCTGTGTGGCCTGTGCGCTTCTAGATAATTTATTTTAAAACAATCTCCCCCTTGCAAAAAAGTGGCCAATAGCTCACATCTCAGGAAGAAAGAGTATAAATGCACGGCAAGTAGGTAATGATCCATCTTCCAAATACTCCCCCAGCACCCACAGTGTTTGTGGCAAGAAGTCCCACACTTTCACAGCATGAAGCAGCATCTCCTCTGTTTTGTGCTGAATCTGCCACCTCCTAGTTCTGTTTGATGCCTCTTAGGCTTTTGCGTTGGAGCAGACAAAGAGAAGTCACCCTCACTTGGCCATCCATAGTTTTATAGATGGCTATCATCTGGATTAAGAGTTCTAATCTACGTAGTCTGCCCTTTGTGGTCATGTTCTGTCTCCAAGGGTCCATAAATCAGATCATCCCTGTTGCTCCTCTGTGCACCCTCTTCAGTTTTACTATATTCTGTCTGAGACAGGGAGACCAGAACTGCACACGGTATTAAAAGGCATCACTATCTCATATAACCACAAAATGATGACTTCCATTTGTTCTCTGCTTCCTAATAGTTGTTTTTTTTCTTCAGTGCTTCTGACCAATGTGTTTTTATGGATTGTAAAATACAGATAACCTTAAAGTCTCATTCTTAATTGGTAGTTGTCAACCTAAAAACAGTAATTGTAACAACAGTTCAAGAAAATGTTTTCCTCATACGCATCATTTTACTTTTATGTCTGTTGAATTTCCTCAGCTGTTTTAACTTACTTCCACTCAATTTTGAGCAATCCATTTGCAGTTCTTGGTCCTGGTAAATGAGTATCTTCCTTTAATATACTTTCCTTTAATTTAATCTGATAACGGAGACTGCATTGATTACTGCAGCTGAGAATCTGTTCTCTACTGTGTGAAAAGACCTGCTTTGGTGGCTTGACAGTTTTGCTATAATGTTGATACTTTACCTTATTATGCCTGATCTTTTCTTGTGGTTTATTGCCAGCTGGATTGCCCACTGGTGATGACAGGCTCTTCACCTGTACTCTTGTTTTAGGATGCTGTTGCATTACTTTGGGGAACTGCCAGCTGACCTAATAAATCCCACCTCAGGCAAGACCACCCTCGTGCATACATGGAGAAGCTGCAGTGAAAAAAAAATGGGCTTAATATTTTCCTATAGCTTTCTTGTATTTGGATGAGGTTGCTGGAGCAGCATGTTCATGGTGAAGACTGGTGGGCAATCTCTTGGGACGTGGCTCTGCAGAGCCCCCTGGTAGGTGCACGTGCTGTACTCGGGGGAATTGGCTCACAGGAACGTGTAGGCAGGTCAACTGGAGCCAATGCTGATTACAGCCGGTTGTTTGTGGCGTACTACACACTTCTGCAAGCACAGCCTGTCGGGGCTTTTGTGTCAGCACTAGGTAGCTATTCATCACTAGAGGTATTGAATAATGAAAATAAAAATGGCCTGAGAGCTACTTATCTGCCAGTCTTTCAGGAGCGGCGAGGTACACATGCAGATACAATGCTACTTGAACCCATCTAAACAAAAGATAGTCAGTTGGCACTGTACATCCATGACTGACTTTCTGTAATTTACTCCCCACCTGCTAAATCCAATCAATTTGCCCAATGTGCTATGAAAAGCCAGAGAACAGAGCAGAAGACAGGATTTAATATGCTCTTGGCAGCCTGCGTTGCTAAGGAGTCATGCTGCTGCCTTCTCCATTAGCTGGAGTTTTTCTAAGAGGTGGTGGCTAGGGTTAGATTAAAACAAAAAAATAACAAAAATAATAGTCCTTTTTTTGGGGGAATGACAAAAACCACACACACAAAGGAGCACAGAGGGGATAGCAGATGGGAGAACCTGAGTAACACCCTGCCCCAGCTACTCCCAGGCCCATCGCAGGAGCCATCAGCCCATCAAAGGCCCATCACCACAAACCCAGAGGAGCACAGGGACACAATGGCAGGCAGGAACCCAAGTTAAGGACTCATAGGGACACCCTGGCTGGGCCTCTCCCAGGGCTGTTGCAGGAGAGCCTCATCCCCTGCCCAAGTGTGAAAACCATCAATGCGAGGCAATGGGAGGGCTCTCACAACCACCTTCAGACTATGGGAGGTTACTGCCTGGGGGTGCGGGACACATTATGCGATGCAGGGGAAAAGCATTTTAGGATTGCACAAGACTTATGGGATGTTTAGGAGAGGAACCAAAAGTGGTGAAAGGATTGGGTGTAGGGGATTTGGGGAGGAACGGATGTAGGAAAATAGAGGGATAAGGGGATAAAAAGGGCTGGTCAAGTGTAAACAGGTACGCTTGTCTGGCCATGCCCTGTGCCCTGCCTGATCACCACAGTCTGTCCTGTCTTCTTAAATGTCATTTCTAACTGTTTTCCTGGGTGAGGAAGAGGCAAGACCATGGGAGGAGCTAGCTACTGTGGGGACCAGGGGAGTCCCAGACGGCTGCTGGAGAGACCATGGGGTCTGCGGGTCAAATTATGTGTGTGTGTGTGTGTGTGTGTGTGTGTGTGTGTGTGTGTGTGTGTGCATAGGTGTCTCCAGGGGGGAGGCATCTGGAGATACCAAGGATCCAGGACCAGCTACTGGGTGGACTGTGCGTCCGAAGCCAGCTACTGCAGAGACTACAATGTATATGTGTCCGCGTGCACGTGTGTGTGCGTGTGTGTGTCTGAGTGAGGGGGTCTGTATCAGTGACAGGAGTGGGGTTGCAGCCTCAGGGGCTCATATGCCCAGGTGCCAGCAGCTGGGGAAACTGGGATCCAGGGGCCAGATACTGGAGAGACAGCCCGAGTGTCTGAGCCCAGCTGCTGAAGGGATGTACATTGCATACATGTCTGTATTTCCCACTCATGGACCTTCATCCTGATCGGACAGAGAGCGGAACAGGAAGAGGCCATGGGTGCTGCCTGTGTTTGTGTGAGTGCTGTATATATGTGTTGTGTATGTGAGTTTGTGTGTTGTACCTACTGGGAATACAGGCTCAGCCTTATTGTTGGTTGGAGCCGGGGGCATGGAGCTGCAGCAGCCTTGCTTCTGTCAGGCTACTGGATTCACCCCACCCCCCACCTCCCTCAAAAGCCACACAAAACGTGTCTCAAAAAACCGATAGCAACATGTCTTACAATAGCTGATGCCTTACCCTGAGACAGGGAGATTAAATACATGTCAACACATTAGAGCGATGAGTGATGCAGAGGCACCTGAGCTAGCTAGCAATGCCCATGCCAGAACACGCACACAGCACAATGGAGCACCACATAGTAATGCTGTCTTAGGTGTGAAAATGCTATTATCCTGCACTACAAGAGTCCTTGTGCACGGTGTGTCCGCTGTCTTAGCTCAGACTCTCCTTCCTCTGGTATCCGCATACCACACTTACTGCACAGTCCAAACAAGGGCTAAGTATATGCGTGTATTTGGGGTAGGTAGACAGGGCTTGCACCTTCCATGGTTCAGGCAAGAGCTGTGACCACTTGACTGTGGAGTCAGCCTCCTCCAGCTCAGTCACTCACTCTTGGTGGTGTTCGCAATGACACCTCCATTGGCTAGAGAAGGAAAGGCAATTCAATGTTGAAAAAGGACTTTGTGGTGGTGGTTTTGCTAGAGCAATGCTATTTATCCTTCTCCAGCCATGTATATTACACAGCTGAAATCCAGCTGGGAGAGAAAAGCTCCATCGTCTTCCACACTGGATCAGAGTTGTCTTGTATAGTGGGCAGAGCAGAAAGCATTTCTGCTGGACATTGCTATGTCAGTGCATAGTATTATCAGACAGCCCAGAAGCTGTCCTATGGGGCTCCACCTAAGGAAGGGCGGATGTCTACCTACCCAAAGGAGGCTGTGTACCTGCAAAGGAGATTGCACAACAGTTCTTCAAACTGTCAGACAACATAACTGTCATTTTGCAATATCAATTCTGATTCAACCAGCCTGGTGCTCAGTCATGGCCTGAACTCTGTCCAAGCACCAGGCTGAGTTGGAAGCAGCAGTGTTATCACTCAGGGTGAAAAACAGGAGTTAACATCATAGGTTGATTATGACATCACCTGGCTGATCTGAAAGGTTACTCTGGCAAAAGAATGTATAGAGAGAAGCTAAAATTTACAAACCAGAGCAAGACACGTGAATACAAGCTCCATTTTAAATTGGCTCATTAACACTCAGGCCAGGGCCCTGAGTGCACCAATAGGCCTTAACTGCCCTCACCTGGGACCTCCATCCCACACCCCCTGCCCGTGGGTCTGGGAGATACGCTTAAGCCCTGGCCTGGGCACCTAGTCCTTGTTTGAGAGAGACTATAGGTGTATCTATCACCAGCCCTGGCTCCTGGGTGGACTTTCTTGGACATCTATTACAGTCCTGTCTCCGGTCCTGCCTGCTGCTGCTCCTGACTGGATTCCTGGAACAGAGTCTCAGGATGGACTCCAGATCTGGTTCTGCACCTTGTGTTGTCTGTGCCTGTCAGCGGACCTTGTTACCACCACCCTGCTCAGCCCATTCACTTTGAATTCTGCGCGATTGGAGGACTATGCCTTGACTGTTGAAGGCAATGCCTCTGCTGAGGTAATCCTTGGCTCCCAGCTCACCATCCCTCATGGAGCAGACCAACTCTTGCTGTTCCCTGGCAGCCTGCACTGCATGGACATTACCTATGCAAAAATCTCTGATGTTATCATGCCCTTAATGTGCCCGTGTTACAGGTGAATCCATGCTACCTGTTACCACTATGCCCTGATGCAACCAAGAAACGGAATTGCTGCCAGGACTGGTGAGAGCACAAACCAGGTGATGTATTGTGATGCCAGCAGTGATAGGGCTGAGTTCTTCTAAACCACCCTGCCTGCCTGTTACGACAAAACTTGCTGCCTCACGTACATGCATTTGTGTACCACTTCTCTTCATATCATCACTTCTTAAAGAAACTCAAGCAGAGAAACCATATCATCAAGACTGTGCCTGATGACGCTGCCGATCATGGGTTTCTAGTGCTGGGAGAATTCCAGCGGGCTCCGCAGAAGGGACTAGCACACTTGTGTCCTCTCTTAGACATACTCCTCTGTGTAAGAAATGGATTGACCTAAGAGAAACAAGGTATGAATGGGAAGTAGAAGTCTACTAAATGTATTTTTTAAAAAAACCCAGTGGCGGGGTATTTCTATTCTTCTTGGCATTCTGCCACTTACTGAGCAGTTGTGAACAAATCATTTGACTTTTGTACCTACTTAAGTTAATAGAAATTAATAAAGATTTATGAAATTTAATTAATGAGTAGCCTTGAATATTTTTTTTTTGCTCCTCAATAAGTCAATCAATATTATGTTACTTATTCTCCAGCTTTTGTGTTAAAGTCAGCCTGGTCAGCTGCTGGAGAATTTCTACTTCATTTAAGTGCTGCCCTCTTCTTGACTCCTGGCAAAAACATGTGATCCAAGAGGTGCAAAGATAGAAGTCACCATCTAGCACTGAGAACAGCCCAAGGGTTTCTACTGTTATTTGCAAAGTATGTCACTATACTCATGTAAAAAACACATCAATAAAAACATATTATCTTAACAGTGGCAAAAATATACAATATTACTTATAAACAAGAAGAACATACTTAAGTATAGAATAGCTTATGCAAACTAGTGTTTATTGATTCACAGGCCCTTTTTCCTTAAATAAATAGTAAAAGAGGAGTCAGGAGCTGTGAGAAAGCCTTACTAAGTTCCCCTTTGCATTTGAGATTGCATGTTCTTAAAAATGTGTGTTTTGGGGGGAGAGGGTCTGCTCTTTAGTAGTATAATAAAACCTATCAGGAAGGATTATGTTTGTTTCTTTTCATAATCAGGGGTTTTTAACATATATCCTTGTTATCTCTATTCCCTTTAACTTGTGAATTTATTTTTGTTTTGTGGATAGGCAAAATGAATAGCAAGTTTGATTTTAAGAGCATCAGTTCAAGTCAGGCGTCCATTATGGGTGACCTTCAGAGGCTTCTTAGCCAAGGAGAATATGCTCCTTTTACCTCTGCTCCCATCTTCGAGAGCAAGTTTGTCCAGGTAAAAAGTCATGCAAATGAAATCATTTGGCATGCTCAAGATAAAATTGCCTGCAATGGTTACTCTTTTTTTCCTCCCTCACATACCAACAGGTATTCCCTCACATACCAACAGGTATTCCCTCACATACCAACAGGTATTCCTCATTCATTTATTCTCACTATTCTTAATCTCTGTTTAAGACACACATACAGATATGTTTCCCTTCTCCTATAGACTCATTCTGCTCACACTTTAAAGGCAATAGTCCAGAAACCCAGCAACAGCAATGCTGCAAATTATAGCAGGAGGACAAAGAGTGATGTTTTCACCCTTCCTTGTCAGCCTCTACTCCTTCCTGTAGCAACAGCTAGGACTGTTCTAGCAAATTTCTGGTTCTGTGCGATCTTATTAAGGTTTTTAGCTATCAAGGTCAGTTCACCCTAGACTACATGGCAGCCAGCCTTTCCCAGGCAATCTCCCCCCGCTTGCAACTTCTAATATCCTTGCAGGCAATGTCACTACCCTGCCTGTCACTTACCCTAAGCACTGGCCAAAGAACCCTGCAAGACTCTGGCAACAGTCTACACTCCTACAGTACCGCATTCACAGTGTGTCTAAAATACATGAATTCTACTTACATGACGTATCTCAACAGTGTTTTTCATAGGGATTCATTGCCTCACTTTGTGATAATTGCAACATCCTTTGGTCATGCCTTGATTAATTCAATTTTCCATTGTTGATATGCATGCAGAAATGTTAATTAGCTAGAGTCTCTGTTTTCAAGGTACTTTATGATTTATCCCTGCTTTATTTATCAGACCTCATTTACTATCAAGGAGGCAGTTGCCCTAACCAATCAACCCAAGAAAACAGCAACATCACTGACTCATTTACACTAAAATGAAAAAAAAAGCCTTTGATCTTTTTTACATGCTCTCTCTCACACTTGGGAGGAGATTCTGCTAGATATCCACAAATTTAATGTACTGTCCTCCTTCAAATTCCTTCTTAGGACACGCTTTCTCTGATATCTATCAAAACCAAACCCTGACAACAGTACATAACATGTGATTTGATCATACTTCTTGTATTTTCTCATTTTTCTCTTTCTGTAATTTCATGTCTTACACATAAATTGCTTGGGATCTTTTTCCATTCTGTGTTTGTACAGTACCTAGTAGGATCCTGGTTCATAACCAGGTCTCATTAATATCACAGTTATGCTGACAAAGACAGCGAATCATCAGAACAGAGTGCCTCTTCCACCATGTTTACACTAAGAGAAATTCAAGAAAATGGTACTCAAGAGGTTTCTGACCACAGCAATCAGATACCCAATGATTTGGACTACACAAGAGCCAGTGATTTCCAGTCCTTTATCTTTATTCAACTTCTTTCCTTTTCATTCATACACATTCCTGTCTCGTTATTCCATATTCCCCCTCTCTCCTCACCAGCTCAGTACATAAGCTCTAGGGCCCCCAAGCCAAAACACCATGAAATGTATTGGTAGTATATTCTCTGAGAGATTATATGGCAAATGTCAGTGTTGATGGGGCTTTTTTTTTTTTGTTCAGGTTAATCGAAGAGGGGAACCAATTTCTGTCCACAACCGACCCAGCTGCGTGACCATCGGTATCTGTGCTGCCAATCCCAGTTCACCAATGCCCAATGCGATGCTGGTAGCACGCAAAGTGCCCATATCCCCAGAGGAAAGTATGACAAACTTCTGGAAACTCTCAGAGCAGCCATCCCACATGGAACAGCTAGCACTTACCAGGTGAGTTAGCACCGAGAAGGGTTAAATATTTCTTTGCAGAGTAAGTAAGAAATACGAATGTATTTCCCATTTCCATACAGTATTTTCCTTCTTTTAAGGGTCAGTTTACTAACAGGCCTCGTATTTGCAGTGATTCTTTGTCCCAGCGCTAGCACAGTAAAGTTAGGAGAATCACTGAAGTTTAAGTACACACCTTTAGGCCCCACTCCGGTCATCATTTCAGGCCAATGCTACCCACATGCATATAGATAGCTGATGACTACGAATACTTAATAAACCTTTTTCTAAATATATCAGAAGCTGAAAGCTGGTAGGAAGATTGGGGGTACAGGATTGTCAGGGAATAAGGCAGTGGGATAAAGGCATTGCAGAGAAGCTAACTTCCTTTGCCTCCATTCTGTGCACTGCTGCCCAGCATTTATTCCACAAACAGCTAAAGGCACTCATAAGAAGAGTGTCCAAATCCACTCGGCAGCTTCTTCCTATTCCAGTTTCTCACTTTTAGTCTTATTCTATCTGTAGGTCTACAGACACAATATTTTCTTTGAGAGGAATCTCCACTTGTGCTTAATGATGAGTTTCCACCTTTTTTTATAGGTTCTTCCCCTTGAAGTTTGTGGAGCTCTCTGTCCACAGCACAGATAAGCATCACCTCATGTTAAAATTAGTAAATGGCCGTTCCTATTATCTAGAGCTCTGTGCCCCGCCAGACCAGCAACAACACCTATTCCACCTGTGGCTGCAGCTCATCTCTCTCCTGAAACCCCCAGAAAATACCAGCAATACCGAAGTCGATGTAAAATGCAAGGATTTTGGCACATGTCACAAGAAAGTTCCCAGCTCAAGCAACCCATCAGAAAATGTGAGTCTTTAGCAAATAGATATAAAAAGTTCAAGCTGACCAATCAGAAAGTATCACTTGTGCCAATATTCTTTACTGTCTCTCAAGTCAAAGTTTTTGTGTGTGCTTTGAAGGAGCTACAGTTCTGTTTATCAAAATAACTGGTTTGTTGTAAGCTCCCTACAGAATTTCAGGGCAATGGGAGTGAGGATGCTAGGCACACCATAGCCCTGATAAATTTCTGTGAATCAATAAATAGCATACTACTTATTGTTTGGTGTTTACTTTTTCCTCATAGTTGGGGGTATGTTCTTAAATGCTGCTTTTTGACTGAATTCCACAACCTGCTGGAAAAAAGCAGAGAAGGAAAGACATGGCACAGCTGAGACCCATGCAGGGACTGACAGCTAATAAGCAAAGAGGGTAAAGGCATTTGATCCATTCAAAGGACAGAAAGTTCTTGAGGGAAATGCTACAGCGGGCAGCCAGACAGGCAGAAGGCAGCTGCTCGCTGTAGCTAAGAGAGAAACAAGAACAGTGAGGGTCAGCAAAAATGCTTCAGAAGGTCCTAGAGAGAATATCACAAACAGAAATTTCACTGAAGCACAGAAGGGACCTGCTACCTTAGAGTCACACTTAGGAAGGAACTTGAATGGTTAATGGCTAAAGCTATGTTCCAAGCAAACAACATTTTGTCAGCACAGGCACTGATGGGTCTTTAGTTCCCACTCAAGCCAACCCAGCTCTCAGCCAAGCAGAAGCACATTCACCCGGAGAAGAAAAAAACACAATCACATGGCCAATGCTCAGTGCTGGACGTACATCTTTTCTCTGCACTCAGGACCTCCCATCTTCTCCCTGGCCATGGGTAGCAGAGAGAAGGAACAACTCTGTGTACATACAGCAGAAAAATTACAAGGGGACTAGAAAAAAAAATAGAATTTTGGAGAGAGGAGAGAACTGTGAGAGATTATTCTTTCAAGAAAAATTAGTGATGAGGTAAAGGGATGACTGAAGAAAACCTAGGGGAAAAACTACCATATTCAGATTAGATTTGCAGAAAGTATAGGACTCAGATTTGGCTGAAAAATCTGCACAGCCACATCCCACAATCATATTTGGTTAAGAATGCATAGGTTAAAAGAAAGTAAGTATAGGATTCATAAAATTTCTTAACTGATACTTTCCTCCTTCAACTCTCCCTACATAGCCACCTTTCTTCTGGGTTTTCTGCTTTCTCTCTTATCTGATGTCAACGACTAGATCCTTGTACAACCTTCTGGACATAAGCTGGCCTGACATAAATGTCAGCTCCTGCATGTACAGCAGATGCTACTAGTGATTCAATATACTAAAATCATGCTCCAGACCTAGAATCTCTATTTTTCTTTGCAGAATAAACGTCTTATTTTTCCAGTCACACGTTGATCAGTGTTTCAATACCTTGAGGTGTTGGCTGTCACTCACTATTACTTTTCTACTGGCAGTTTTTAAGTTTGAATTTTCCTTTGCATTATTACATCCTCCCTGTTCTCTTCATGTTTAGACAGAAAGCTGACTGCACATGAGAGGCTTACAGGTATCCCTGCCTCAGCTACCTGAAAGCAGATTTAGAAAGATTTTAGTAGGGATGGATCTCAAAATCTGGACAGGAGGGAGAGCAAAGATCTTATCTCAGCTTCCAAATATGAGCAAAAAGAGGAGAATAACCTGGAGATAAAGGAGTCCTGGACATGAATCAGAAGCAGAGAACTTGGAGGTTAAGCCACAAACAGCTCTCAGAGGTTAGGCTTTGGGACCTGTTATCCCTTGATGCACTGCATAGTCACCTCTAGCCAAAGCTGTAGGCCAATAATCGCCAACAAATTGATAATGTAGGAGAAACAGTAGTCTGTCTTCCAGGTATATATATCGCATTTCCTACGGATGGTCTGTCTGACAACACTTTATAGCAGAATATTCAGTATATAGGGGACTACTGTATAGGAAATTATCTTATCACAAAGTTCAAGTTGTGCTCATCAGCTCTGTGCAGAGCAATTTTTTATGTCAGTTGCTACTGTATCTGTTAATCTTTCCTTTTTCCTTCAAGAGCGACAACCCACAAGACGTGCCTAACCCCAGAACAGCGGAAGAAGTTGTTACTAAACAAACCTCCTCCAACCAAGTTCCCCTCTCAGGTACAGTGGGTCCCACAGAAGAGAGTGGAAGGAAAGGGGAAGCCTTCCACAGCTCCCTGAAACCAACCAGGCAAGAAACCACCATGCAGTCAAAGAATATAGATCCTCTGGATACAAAGAAGAGCAAAGGCACAGAAAAGAGGAAAACTAGGTAGGCGTGTTTGGAAAACGATTCTGATATACTTAGTTTCTGCTGCTGACTTTGAAAAGTAAAATGAGTCATATTTTTGTCTTCAGAAAATATATTATTGCAACACCTTTTCAGGGTTACTGTGATTTTCTTAATGCCTTAATGGATTAGGAAGCTGAAGAATACAGGGTGGGGTTTCCAATTATCCAGACTTTGGTTTCTCAGACATTTAGGTGCTTTTGAAAGACCATTCCCCCTGCTCACCCTCCCACCCCCTGGCGTCACAAAGACTTCTGCTTGGCAATCAAGCAGAAGTCATGAATGTTCAGTGACTTAAGTGCCAGCGGTCTCCTTGAATGCTGAAGGATCTGCATACAGGCAGCTTTGATTTGTACACCCAGTGTATGACAGAATCATATAGCACAGGGCAGACTCAGTGTTTCCTTTCTGCCCAAAATCAGCAACATGTTCTGGCACCAGAAATCTGTCTTTTCTGCATGTCCTTCACTGCCATATCCATCCTGGCTTGTGCAGAAAAGGAGCAGATTTTTTGTCGGTGGTGTTGCACAAACTAGGCAAGCAAAAGTTAGATGGCAGAAGGAAATGAAAACTCTGTCACTTACACGAGCATCTGCATGACAACAAAGAACAAGACTTCAACATAATCGCTTCTCAAGCTTCACCTAGGCCCTAAGTGGTGTGTTCAGATGTGTGCTATGTTCAGATGTGTCATATCTCAGTGCAGTCTATAACATTCAAGTATCTCCATGTGTTAGTGTGCCTGCACTTCAAAACAAGGCTTACTACTGCAGACAGAAAGAGACTAAAATAGCCCTTATTTAATACTGATCCCGGTACATAATGATATTACTAGGGTAAGACTTCCTGAGTTTGTTGGCAATGGCATAATGGTTTTTTCCTGAACTTTATTTTTTTTTAGGACAAATACAATGAACCAAAAAGGTGGAAAAAAATCACAGACTTCAGGTATGGCAGTTTCTGATATTTACTCAGTTCCCCATTCCTATTCCTACTTCAATAATAGAGGAAAGAAGCTGAAACTTCATGAGCTGGGAGTTCTTTAGAACAAATATTCCTCTGTCCACATTGCCAATAGATCAGCACTTGTATGGCCTTGTTATTAGAAGGTATCCTATCCTGTGCTCATTCCCTGCTGTGATTACATCTCACCTTCCAGGGTTCAGTGTCAGGTTTCTTCTAGAAAGGCCTTGATGTTTGACTTGTTTGGCTGATGGCAGCCACTGCAACTTCACTGCAAAAT